CCCAACCAGGCTGGTAATTTATTTTTCCTAAACTAAAATTTTTAAACCAGCTGATGATGTTGGGGAAAGCTATGTTCTCTCTCAGCCAAATGCTGGGATCCATGGCAGCTGGCAAAGCACCTTAATCCTTTTATACTTACTTTTTATATACATCCGTTAATGTCAATTACATGTAGTCTTAAACACCAGGATTCTTAGGCTTAAGTACACTAAACACCCAATCCTGGAAGCTGCCTGCTATTCAGGAAGAGAATGTTCCTGAACCTACCAACCCACAATTCTGTGATGTTCTGAGATACCGACTTCCCTGAGGGGCTCAGGGGAGCGGTCCCTGGGACTGAAGCTAGAGGGCCTTCCTGATGGCCACGGCCTCTGTTGTTCATTGCACAGGGCTGTTAAATAATCAGAGAACCAGACTTCAGAGAACTGTTGAAAACTAAGCTCTCCTCCACATACTCTTGCTTCTCAAAGTCAGCGTTTACTGCCCTGTATAAGCCAGAAGTGCTGTGTGACAGGGGGGCCCCTGAGTGTGGCTTTTTTTCTTTTCTTTTTTTTTTTTTTTTTTTTTTTGCATTTAATTCTCCAAGTCAGCGTTTACTGCCCTGTATAAGCCAGAAGTGCTGTGTGACAGGGGGGCCCCGAGTTTGGTTTTTTTTTTTTTTTTTTTTTTTTTTTTTTTTTTTTTGCATTTAATTCTCCACAGGGGATGCCTTGGTTACCCAGGGCAGTTGGCTCTTCCCTGTCTGGCCTTCAGTGTCCCCAATTTAGGAATAAAGGGGTTGAACTAGTTCAGAGGTTGTGATTCATGAGATCAGTCCGGCCCATGCTGAGGATTGGCATTAGATGTTAACTTTTAAAACAAGCATCAGGATGGGGCTCCTGGGTGGCTCAGTCATTTGAGAGTCCAATTTCAGCTCCGGTCACCATCTCCTGGCTTGTGAGTTCAAGCCCCAAGTCAGGCTCTGTGCTGACAGCTCAGAGCCTGGAGCTGCTTCAGATTCTGTGTTTCTCTCTCTCTCTCTGCCCATCCCCCGCTCACAAGCTGTCTCTCAAAAATATTTTTAAAAAATTAAAACAAGCATCAGGGCTACCTGTGTTGCAGGTAAGAGCTGACTTCCAGCAGCTTCAGACAGGAAGGAACTATCTGATCGAAGCAGCAGCCTAGAGAGGGTTGGTATACCAAGGCTGCCCTCAGGGCTTTCTCATCAATCACCCTGTCTTCTGTGGATGTGGGCTCATGTCACTAAATAGTGAGCAGAGAGCAGAGGGCACCCCCTCAGCATTCTCACTGGGCCACGGAAGTCCCTGTCTCATCTGAGTATCTGCCTACCGCCAGGAGATGGACTGTATGAGGTGGTCTTATGCTAACCTGGACCCATCATAAGCTAGGACCAAGCAGTCCCCTTCAAGGTACGTGGGCATGTGGGGGACATCCAAGCAGAAATCTAGATAGTGGGAATGGGGAGGTGGATGGACACCATGTGGCAGCAAGTGCCCACTCAAGGTGGATTTGAGTGTCGTTTGCCAGGGGAATCAAAAGTGCCCCACCCTGTCTGTTCCTGCTGAGTCATAATTAGCTGGTTATGGGTTATCTTGCTGTCCAGGCCTGAGGCCTTCACTGCCCTTACTGTCTCATAGATAATCTGTTCTGCACTCCTAATGACATGCCTAGCCCCTAGTGGTGCCTGGTTTTGTCACTTGATCACCTCCTGTCATGTTGAGTACACTCCAGAACATGTAGCTGGCTGTACCTATGAGGCCATGGGTGCTGGCCTTGGTGACTGACGTCTATGGAAAAGTGCAGGATACATACTGCTGGCTCAGAGCAAGGCCCACCGTGTGTGGAAGGAGTTTTTCTGCCAGGTGGCTGCAGGATCTTGAGGAGCTCAGCTCCCCAGACCTGCTGTAACATGTGCTGTGTGCCTTGCACCGTGTGCACAGAGAAGGTGGCTCATGGCCTGCTGAGGCCCAGCAGCCTGTGCAGAGGGGCCCTGGGCCAGCTGGAGGTGCATCAAAACAGGTCTGGTCCAGGGACACAGGACCAAGAAAGGAGACTTTGCTGTTCCTGTAGGACAAAGCAGCATTTGGCAGATGTTGGAAGAGGGAAAGACAAGATTGGGGAACACAGAGGCCCGGAGACTCTGAACCCCATGACCCAGCCCCAGGGAGGCTGTGGAGGGACAGGCTCAGTTGGAGCTTTTAGAGACAGCAGACAGGATGGACAGACGGGCTTGTGGCATTGGCCAGCGCAAGGGACGGGGCTGTGTGGTCAGCTTTGAGGGGAGATTCTGCAGACGCTTCTGAGCCTTCCTAACGGACTGAATGAGGGCAATGCCACAGGGCCTGGGGGTGCCCTTCACTGGCAGGAAAGAGAACACAGGAGGGGTGGATTTGGGGGCAGTGGGCTCAGTGGAAGTGTGTTAAAGAGAGGAAAAACCTTTCTGAGAATGGCCTGGTATTTTTAAAAGCAAATACCACATACAGAAAAATACAGGACTTTTCACAAAGCAGCTACATATAACCAGCACCAGATCAAGACCTCATCAGAACCCCACCCCCCATACACACGCACACAGCGCTGCCCCTTCTCACAATCCAGATGCCCCAACTTCAGACACTGTGATGGCACATCTGAGCTGGCCCTCAGAGGAACCGAACCACACAGCTAGGTCTCCCATGGTGTCCCATTGCTGTGTGGCATTCACTGGACAAAGGCTGTTGTCCCTTCTGTTGATAGATGTTGAGGCTGGCCCGTCAGGACTGCTCTGAGTGTCCTGGTGGGTGTCTTGGTGCCCACATTGCATGTGTGTAGGTTGACCAGGGTGCGTGTGGGGTACATACCACACCAGGACACGGGTTTGCCCTGGCACTAAATGGCTTCACGCAGTCTTCGGTTACCCTCAGCCTTCCTTCTTCATGGCAGGAGTCGTCACTTGTCATTTTAGGATCGACTGTGTTGCATCTATGCCACCATTTTTGTTTCTCTCAAATGTCTGGGCCAAGTACTCGGATAGCACAGCCTGTCAAAATGTGGCTAAACTTGTTTTAAAGTTCATTTGAGTCAAGGGCACCCAGCTGGCTCAGTCAGTAGAGCATGTGACACTTTATCTCAGAGTTGTGAGTTTGAGCCCCACGTTGGGTGTAGAGATTACTTAAGTAAACTTTCAAGTTCAATTGGGTCAGTTGGGACTCAGGAGGCCCCGGGAACAAGCCCCAAAGTTTTCCCTCTGAGGTCGGCTTGCAGGTGCTCCGGGAGGGTTTTGTTTCTTGTTTCCAGCTCAGGGTGCACAGAGCTTTCCTCAGACTTGAGGATGTACCTGGCAGGGACACGGTGTTCTGCCCCTGGGAAAGGCAGCAAGAAGGTGGATTCCAGCGAGACTACCAAGGAGCACGAGGGCTGAGTGTGCCTCTGGGGTCAAGTGCAAGATGGGCAGAGGCCACACCTGGCTTAGCAGGAAGTGTGCTTCCCAGGCCGGGCGGGAGGACCCTGGAGGCCTCTTCCCAGCGTGAGCTGACGCCTCCATGCTCGGGCTGTCTGCTCTAGGTGGTGTGGTACGCCGTTTGTGGCCAGCGGTCCAAGCACACATGCCGTTGCAGGGCAGGCATCCTGGTGCTTTTTTAGTAGGTCATAAATTAGCCTGTGCCCGTCACAGAATAGGAGCGCTGCCCCCACAGATGACTTACTCTGAGGCCTGCTGGGGAAGCTCAACACGTCTAGTAAGAAGAAATTGTTTTGCAGCCATTTAAAGCCCTACTAGAATATGCTGAGCAGGGCAGCCGCTTTCTGCATCTGTGATGAAAAGTAGACACTGAGGGGCACCTGGGTAGCTCAGTCAGTGGAGCATCCAACTCAGGTCATGATCCCAGGGTCGTGGGATGGGGAGCCCTATGTTGGGGCTAAGGGCAGGAGTCTGCTTGGGATTCTCTCCCCCCTCACTCTGTCCCTCTCCCCCACTCTCTCTCCTCTCTTTCTCTAAAATAAATTACAAAAAAAAAAATAGACACTGAATCAAGGCACAAGGCTGACCAGGGTTGCCTTCAGGTGCTTGGGGCTTCCCATTAGGATGACCTTGGTCACCTGCTGGTCTCAAAGTTCAAAGCATGCTCAGAGGTCCTCAGAGGCACAGAGACAGCAGGCACAGGTCTGAAGTAGCCCCAGTGCCCACCGCCTCTCTTCTGCTTTGAGAAATCTGTGTCCAAAACTAAGAGGAGCCATGCAGAAAGTCTTGACCTGGGCTTTGGCCTCCAAGTATGGCCTTCATCCCCAGGCTGGCAACTGGAAGTGAGAGGAGCTATCCTTCAATGTTCAAAGGCCCATATGCCCCGAGGCCACTGGGAATCCTGGGAACTTTCAGGAGTCGCTAGGTCTGGTCTACTGGCCTGTTGTTCAGACGGTATTACACTGCCCTCTCCTGGGCAGCCATCTGAGAATTAGCCCCACAAGCTTGGGCCAATGATTTTTTTCAAACAGCCAGAGCAGATTTAAAGCAAATTCTTAAAGCCTTCTAGCTTTATAAAATGGACGGAAGGCACACACCCCCCTGGTTCCTGGCTACATTGGGAGAACCCCAAGTCCACAGGCTCTGGTAGTTCCTGAAGGCAAAGACAGTGTTGGTATCCTGTCATCTCATCTTCTGGAACTTCCCACCAGATCTCCGGCTAGCCCTTGACACATCTGTGGTCACCAAAACCCAACAAGGTTTTGTTTTTGCTTACTGTTCATCATGGCCTCATTCAGGATTGGGCTCCCAAAACACCAGCTGTAGGCACTATGGTCCCCCAAGGCCTGAGACATGCCAGCACTTGGGAGGGGCCCTCACTGTCCTTGGTTTTCTGTTCTTACCCTTATTCCTTAAGTGACTTTAGATGTTGAGACGTTGGTCTCAGGTGGGCTTACGTGTATCAACCATAAATTGTCCCTTGCACTTTAGATGGCTTTACCTTTAGGTCTCATTGAAGATGTCCCAGTTTATGACCCTTCGTCTTTATCTTCCTCACAGAATGACACAAATGGGACAGCAAAGCCGCCTTTTCTCAGGTATGTTGAACTTTGTCTCTGGGGATTTTGGTCGCTGCACAGCCCTCAGGCCTGTGGGGTCCAAGGAGAGGTGACCACCTTGTTCTCCTCACAGCACAGGAGGCTCTGCCCAGGCTCTGTCGCAGATCCTCAGGGGAGACCTCCCAGCCATATTGCGTTTGGCACCTTAATCCAGACCCCGTCCTAGTGGCCCTCTCACGTAACCCCTCCCACACAGGGCCACAGAGAGGTGGGCTCTCCCATTACAGCGTCTACAGCTCTGGAGAGTTCTGTGATGGGTGGGCATGGGTGCACAGAGAGAACGGCCACCGTGAAACATTTGTTTAGAAAATGTCCCAAGCTTTACAGAGAAGCCTTCTAACGTCACAAAGCAAGGACAGTAATAGCTCTTCCAAAACCAGACTCCTGTCTTGTAGTATATGCCTGCAGACACGGGTTTTCCTCTCCCCGCAGTGGAGAAAACCCTTTTGCGACTGTGAAACTCCGGCCGACGGTGACAAACGACCGCTCTGCACCTATCATTCGATGAAGAGCAGGCTGGGAGCTCCAGTCCCTATGATGTTAAGTTCTCACTTGCAAAATGATATGTGTTGTTTGGTGTGCGCTTAACTTTGCAAAGCTTCGCCAAAGGGTGCCTGATTTTAAATGTATTCTACTTGAGCAAATCGACGCATTTCCTCAATTTAACATAGTTGTGTTGATACATTTCTGTCTTTAAGAAAATAGTTTAGTGACCAACTCAATCATGAAAATATTTTCTTCCCATTCTGGTCATCAGAAGACTATAAATTTGGTTCTAATCCTTACTGTATAATTTTTTAAATATTCTGTGATTATTTTTTTAACAGCCAGAATGAGGGATAGTCAGTCTGTGCTTTCATGACGAGCTTTCTGCACCAAATGAGAGCACACTTTTATCTTAAAAAGCATGTGCTCTTACATAGCATTATAACATTTATCTAAAGGAAAGGTATAAATTGCATCTTAGCATGCATATCATAATTTTAAGCAATATAAATTATGAGAATATGCTATAAAATTTAATTTTTTAACTTAAAAATTTTTAATTTTTGTTTAATCACATGTAGAGCTACCTAAGATGGAGACATCCCCAAGTTTCCCTTGATTTAGACATAGCTATAGAGCACAGAGAGGCTTGCCTGTCCCTGTCACAGCCATGTTTAGTACTTGAATAATCCCAAGATCTACTGAGTTTGGTAGTTCAGACTCACTAATTGGATTCACCAACGAAAACACACCAGGCCGAGCTGCAGGTGATGGGTGTCACGCACACGTGTAAGGACCCTGCATGTGTAGACCCAGGGTGTTCTCGCTAAGCTAGTTGACCAAAGCTGCCTCCGTCGCTAGTGTACTCTGAAACCTCTTAGGGGCCAAGTTTCTCCACTTCTGAATCAGGTGTGTGTATACACACCCACCCAGCGCATACAAGGCCACGTGCCTTAGTGGCTGGGATGTGAAGTTCTGCATTTCAGCTGAGACCTGCCATTGTCCCCACAGAACCTGGAGTGTCCCATAAGAGGGAACTCTGAGTGGGTGGCTGAGCTGATCTCTGGCTGCCGGGGATCAGGCCCTATCCTGGAGGGGTGCAGGGTCCAGCCTCACACCCAGGCCATTCACTGTGTGCAGGAAAAGAGGGCCTTGTTGGTCACAGCTCCTTTGGTCTCGCTGTAACTATCAACGTTTTTCTAGAAGCTTGAAACTGCTTATGGTCAAATGCTGGTCAAATGGTCACACTGGTAAACCAGTGTGAGTGAGTGCCACTTCTCGTTCTTCGTCCTGTCCTGGCTAGGTTGGCTAACCAGACAATGTCCCCAGGAGCTGGGGAGTCAGACCCGCGTGAGGGCCAAGGCAGCTGAGCGGTCAGCAGGCAGTACAGCTGTCTTGAGAAAGGCTGCTCCAGCCAGGAAAGAAAACGCTGATTTCGTGAAGTGGCCCCACCACTCCTCTCGCTGAGTAAGAGGGGGCTCACGGAAGCCCAGTGTTTTCAGCGGTGGGGGGAGTAAAGATACAACCTCAGTGTGTTATGGGGGTGCGGGCCCTGGCCTCCAGAGCGCCACTCTCTGGGATCCTTTGGCTTCCTTACAGAGATGAATAGGTGTGGTCTGCAGGCCCACCCCCCTCCCCCCTCAGTTCTGCACCTTCACAGAATGGGCCCCGGTGGGCACCCACCTGCCTTACAGGGGAGGGGAGGGCTTGCCTCAGGCCGGGCACAGAGGTGCATTATCTGTAATGTCCAGGTATTCTGTTTTGTTACAAAAATAAAACTTTGAAAAGCACGTTCTCTTGAGCAGTGAATGCCTACAGAGGAATAGATGGAGATCTGCCATGAGGGACGGTGTTGAAGCCAGGCACTGGGCATATGACTCTAGTCTGGTCACAACAAGTTTCCAACATCTGCACGAGTTAATTTATATAAGTGGCAGTGTGCACACACCGAATAGGTAGAACCAGGTCAACAATGGTATGAATCTCATTTATTTAAAACCGTATTTCTCACCTTTCTCAAATTGAAGACTGCAAAAAATAAAAGCAGTGCTGTATTGAGTTGTCATTCACCCCAAAGCAGTGCGCCGTGACCCCTGCGCCCAACGAAACCATGAAGCCGCAGCCCACGCGCACGCCGTCTATCCCGCCTCACTTTACAAAACAGTCCTGGAAGCTTAATCAAATAAAGCTACTGTACACATTTACATTAGAAAAAGACAGCTGGATGTAGGAAAGCCAGGTGTGGCGTTCCCTTTAAGTGAAGTTTGCTCCACAATTGGGGCATCTTCGCTTCCTCAAGGCAAAACAGCAGATGAACCCAAACGGGAACAAGATGATCGCCAGGAAGATGCCCAGGAAGGTGAAGGAGTCCTCCAGAACCCCGACTCTGCAGAGAGAACACGGGGGGCACTCATGTTAGGGTCCCTGGCAGGGCCCTAGGCCAGACCCAGTTCTGGACCCACCCCACACTCTGGCACAAGAAGGGACGGAGACCATGAGGACACAGGGTCCCCGGGTGCCTCACAGTGACCACATCCACAGAAGCAGCCTTCACCCCTCCAGCAACAAACCCCCGGCCTGTTGCACATGCCCGTTTGCCCAGGGGAAGGCTAGCTGCTGCTCTCAGCTGCTACATTACCTAAAGGAATTACCACTTACAAACACCAGAACGTTCAGTTGCCACATAACCTGCCGTGTTTTCTCCTCCGTCACAAAAGGAAGAGCAAGAAGCAAATGCTAGTCTCTATATAAATTCTTCTATCTCTGAAAACAAGACCCAAGAAAACCAAATCATTTTAGAGTTTTTCCCCCCAGAATTGGACAGTTTAATTCTTCTATCCCTTAGAAAATCCAAAAAGTTACTAAGTTTATAATTCTGATTTGGGGGAGGGGGTACAACAGATTTTAGTGAACAATTAAAATCAGCCATATTCACAATATAAGAAGGCAGCACTGAGCCTGGGTGGCTCAGTCAGTTAAGTGTCTGACTTTGGCTCAGATCATGATTCATGAGTTTGAAGCCCATGTTGGGCTCTGTGCTGACAGCTCAGAGCCTGCTTCAGATTCTGTCTCCCTCTCTGCCCCTCCCCTGCTTGTGCTCTCAAAAATAAAAACTTTTAAAAACTTAGAAAAAAAGGCTAAAAAAAGATTGAGAAATTTAATCTTTATTCAAAAAGTTTACCTTCAATGCGCACGACACAATACCATAAGGCACCTCTGAGCTATCACCCCAATCATGAGCAACAAGTATAGGTTCGGTGATCTAAAGTCACCACTCACATTCCAGGGTCACTTTCAAAGGCTCCCAAAACTGGGAAGCAAGAGCCATGTGCTTGGCTCTGCCCCTGCTCCTTAGGCTACTTGTGGGAAGTTCTGGACCCAAGGCTGAATTTAAAATGAGAGCCGCAATAGCCAGCTCAGCGCTTAAGGAGAACTCTGTCACATTACGGAGAGCCAGGGAGAGCTGCTGGAAACACACTCCTCCCCAGGCAGCAGGCAGGGGAGGCCTCTAGCCTTGTCCACTGACTGCAAATCCAGGGCTTTTAATGAATAGGGCCCTTCACCTGAATTCAAGAGAACAAATATGCCAAATCGCTCAGGGCTGAGTACTGGGAAGGAAGAAAGGAGGGTCTTCAGGGAAGGTGTCCAGGGGGTGACAGGAGCTGGGCAGTGACCAGGAAGACCTGACCCACTCCTTCCTGTGGCCGCCCAGCCCCCTGCCCTGGTTTTACCACAGCTGCATTGGTCTCCCCAAAGCCATGTCCTCTCTCCATGCCTCAGCCTGTCTTTGAACACCGCTAAAGATCTCTTGTGCCCTTCCAGAATGTTCTAGAAGCATCTGCTTCTCATTTTGCCACCTTGTGTGCAGAGGAAGGTTCAGCTTAATACAAGCACCCAATAGAAGACTTCCTCCATCCAAAATGCCAAAGCAGCTGCTGCTGCCCCTTCTGAGGGCCTCACAGCTCCCAGCTGTGTCTACCCGCTGGGCCAGGGCTCCAGCCCACGTGCCCTATCCTGCAAAGCAGGCGGGGAATTGTGAGAAACCAGGCTAGGAGGCGGCCTGGTTTTCAACTGCTTAAAGAAAAAGTCAAACTCCATGCCCACTTCCCTTCCCACCCACTCAGGAGGGGGTGCCTAAGACCTCCACATTGGACAGCATGCCCCAGCAGCACTTCCCCAGATACTGGTCCTGATACTAGTTCCCTGCTAAACTGCAGAAAACGGACGGGGGGGGTGGGGCGGTTCTTTGGTCAATTTAGAGAAACTCTCCCCATCCTGGTATCACAGCACACGGCAGTTTAGGAATGGCTCTGAGAAGTCCTGCAGTAAAGCCACTTGCTGAACGGTTGTTTCAGCCGACACTTCCCCAACTGACGTGCATGCTGACTGGTTAGACTGGACACAGACATGGCCAGATCTGACAGAAAGTTAATCAGTAGGCTCGACTTTCTCTCAACAGAGTTACCTTTTCTTAAGAATGCACAAGAGCAGGGAATGGGCAGAGAGAGGATCCCAAGCAGTCTCTGCACTGTCAGCACAAGAGCCCAGCGTGGGGCTTGAACCCATGACCCAGGAGATCATAACCTGAGGCGAAATCAAGAGTTGAACTTGCTTAACTGACAGCCACTCAGGAGTCCCCTTTCCAAGGACTGCGAAGGTCGTCAGGTCACCACACTGTTCTCGGCCCCTCCCATGGCCTCCCTGCCCTTGAGAGTCCAGACCTCACACCTGCCCCACCTGAAAAAGCACCTGCGGCCATGCTGCCCCAGTCAGGGGTGAGGTTCCAGGGAGGCCCTGGGCCACCAGCTGTGTCCCCACACACAGGGAAACGGGACAGGCTGCCCTGGGCCGGGAACACACCCATTCTGCTCACAGTCCTAGCCTCGACTCCTGCAACTACTGATGCTAATCAAGCCACTTCCAGAGCAGCTGGAAGCGGCGGGGTGGGGGGGGGGGCCTTGCACTAGTTGGCACCACCCAAGCGCCGCTGTCCTTCCTCCCGGTATCTAGCAACCTTCTGCCTGCAGCTGAGGTCCCGAGGATCACAGCAGTTCACACATTTGGTTGGTGTCCGAGGAAACAGCAGAGGGTGGAGGGCAGAGGTGAGCCGGGCCTCACAGCTGGGTCACCTGTACAGCAGAGAACTTTGCAGAGAAGCCTGCCCTCTGGCGGAGCAGAGTGTGCTTTGCCCAGTGTCCCCTCCGGGGGCCAGTGAGGCCCAGAACTCCCAGGCTGAGCACCCACCTGGGCTGGACATCCCACATCATCCTGTGTCGGGATCCAAGCTGTTACGAGGCACAGCCTAGAATCCTCCATGTCTGCTCAAAGGCTCCAGATGTCCAGGAGGAGTCTGGGGCCAAGGCCTGTCCTGACATCCTCAGTGCCTTCAAGTGGGTACATGCAGGCAGTCTGCACCCCTGGCTGCTGGACACCCCCCCCAAGCTGGGTGTAGCCCCCCATGCTGTGGGGGCGGGAGCTACCCAAGCTGCCTGGCTGGCCTGCCTCCACAAACCGCCCATCTTGGGGGCCGCTGACCTCCTGGGCAGCTTTGCCCTGCCTGCTCTTCCCAGAGTCCCCTGGGAAGGGGACAAAGCGCCAGCCAGCAGGAGCCCCCAAGCACAGGGTCAGCCTTCAAGGCACCACACTGCCGCCAGAAGAGTCTTACCCTCAATTCCAAACAGAAAGCTCTGAGAGTGCTTTTTCATAGGCTTACAGGAAACTTACCCAGCCACCGCACATGACCTGAATGATGTGGCCACTTATGGTTGTAATTCATCCACTTAACATGAACAGTCACATCTTCCTACAAAACTATTAATGTTTTGACTTGGGGTAATACCCTAGACCTCAAAAACACTGCTGGCTTAATTTAGTTCTTAAAAATCCAGAATCATTTGAACTGAAACACACAATCTGATCTCTGAGCCATTCTTGATGCAGTGACACTCCAGGCTACAGAGCAGACCTGTCCCCGATTATGGTCCCCATGAGGCCACCATAGGAGAGAGGGGATGCCCTGTCCCAGCGGCTTTCCTGCCGGCCTCTCACAGAGAGATTCACAGGCTCTTCCTCCCTGAACGCCTCCCCCACCCCCATCCCAGAAGGGCCCCAATCAGTTCAGGACAAAGTTTCAACTCTTTCAAGAGGCTCAGAATCCAAACAGAGCCAGTTGCTCTTGCTGAGGATGGAAAGCCCCGCCCCCATTCTTGAGCAACAGGTTGTGTGCTTGGTGGGGAGGGGGGGGAGCTGGGGAAATAGGGAACTTGACCAATTCTGAAAATGCTTATTGGACTCCTGACTCTGATCCTATGGAGAGAGAAGCCGCCTGACATCTATCCAGAGCGGGCCTGCGCGAAGCGCTAGATGAGCAGGATGACACAGAGGCCCTGCCCGCATGGGGCTCCTGCTTCACAAGGGACAACAGAGTGGGAGGCCCAAGCCCACGTCTCCCGGGAGGGCCCCGCGTCCAGGAGGGTGCCAGATTTCCCCATCTCCTGCTTTCCTCACAGCAGCCCTGACCAGGGCTTCCCACCCCACCCCCCACACCCCCACCCCACCCCGGGACTTAGCACCTGACGCTCCAGCTGCCCTCGGGTTGTCCCAACTCCTCCCTGCTGGAGGCAGGATGCGGCTTGGAGCTGTGCCCAGACCCACCCTCACCTGAAGGACTAGCCTCCTCAGGAAAAGGGAGCAGGGGACTTCTTGGGGTGGGGAACAGATGCCCGAGCACTGGGCCACCCAGGTCATACCTTCCCGCTTGGCACATGTGTCCGGCCTTCTGCGGTCCTGGGGCCTCCGGCCGTTCTGAACAAGCCTGACAGCCGGGCAGCCTCCATCGGGGAGGCAGAAGAACACGGGGTGGCGCCCAGGGGACTTCCGCTACCCGGGCCTCTGGAGGTGCCGGGGGCTCCCCGCGGTGCTCCCAGGGACTGTGCAGCCTGCCGAGTCCCGACTCACCCGGGGGCTACCCGTCCCCCAGCAGGACCATGCACGTGGGCAGGGCAGAGGCCAGATGCCGGATGGGCACACTCCCGTGGCCTGCTGTCCAGGAGGCCACAGCTATGTCACAGACCCCTTCCTCTCAGGACCCTTCCCACACTCCACCCCATGTCCCCTGTCATACCCTCACCACCTGCCTCTGCCCCCACCAGCTCTACCAGGGTCACCAGTCCCCTCACGCAGACCACCGCGGGCCATGTGCACCTTATTGCTGGCTTTGGACAGCATCTGATTCTGACAACTGTTCCTGGAGCCTCTCTCGGCTTCCAAGGCCCCACTCATTTCCAGATCTCCTTCCCCCTCTCTGGTTACCCCAAAACTAAATACCCAAGGAGGCCCAGCCAGGGTCAGTGGGGAACCTAGGGCAGGACAGGCCCTGTATCTGCTGCTTCATGCGTGCTCTGGCCTTGACCCGTGCTGCCCCAGAGCACCTTCTCCACGGGCGACCCAGCGCAGTCCCAGGTGGACCCAATCAGGCCTGGTGTCCTGGACTCTCAGTGCTGCCACCCCACGTCCCCGGAATCGGAATCCAGGCACAGCCCACACCCCCCAGGGAGGCCCAGCTTGGGGGGGGGGGGGGGCTGAGCAAGACAGCACACAGTCCAAACTGGCAGGGGTAGAAAGAGCACACTCATCCTGTGGGCTCCCAAGAGGTTTTCTTGCAGCCGACTAAAAAGGGGGGACAGAGTCAGGCTGCTTAAGATGATGGCCAAGTGACACAGGCCTCTCGAGCCAAGCCTCCCCCAGAAGGAATCAGACGTGTGACCTGGGCAAATCGCTGCCAAGCTACCAGGGAGGGAAGGGGACAGAGCCTGGCGGGCTGCACGAAAAGGGAGAAAGTATAGTCACATGTCTCCCAACTCTAGACACCGTGCCCAAGGGCCACCTCTCCATCCTGCTGAAAGGAGCTGCCTCAGGGCCACACACCCACCCCCCAAACCAGAGGAAAGCTTCCCTGGGAGGCACCGAGCCTCCCTCTCCCTCCTTCCCGCTGCCCATCTCCCCCCACCCCCACCCCACCCTGCTGCAGAGCACAGAAAGGACCGCTCCCAGCCTTGGAGGGCACTGCGGGGGCAGGGATGCTCCTGCACGAAGGACCCAAGTGCTGGAGGGGCCCTCAGCGCTGGCATCCATCCTTTTCCGGCCACAGAGAGAGATCACAGGGGGATGTGCCAAGAGGGCGTCACCGTGTAGTGGTCCCAACAGTCCCCAGACTTGCTCTCAGAGCACCCACTCCTCCCTGCCTTCCACCCAGAGGAGGGAGGGTGGGGACTGCCGCACTGTCCCCAGCACAGTCGCCCCACACCTCAGCCTTCAGGCAGCCCGACCTGGATCCAGATTCTGCAGGACTGGGCCTCTGAGACCCCAAGCAGAAGCCCCAGGCCCCCAAAATGACAGGGCTCCCACCCCAGGCAAGGTGCTCCCCACCTGCAGCAGCCACGGAGGCCTCACTGCTGGTCTCTGGTTTCAGGGGCGGGGGCTTCACAGAGCATCCCAGGAGGGACAACAGGGCCAGGATGCGAACCTGGCTCCCCCAGCAGGCTGGGCACTGCGACAGGACAATCAGATGCACGTGGTGCGGAGACCCAGGAACCCCAGACTGCCCTGCTCCAGACACCTTCCCGACCCGCCTCTAGTCTGCCGGCCTGACACCACTCCCTAAACTTGGGAGATCACTCGATTCTCCCGCCCAAAATAGGCCTTTGGAATCCTCCAGCTGGCCCGCGCGGGGACAGCACCGAGCAAACAGCTGGGGCTCTGAGCACTCAGGACCAGCCTCAAAGCCAAAAACAGTAGGTTTCCCATCACCCACCTCTACACGCAACTCCCCAGGACTCCTGGTGGCTCTCTTCACAGGGGACCAAGTCCTGATCCCTGCCCAGCCCGGCGGCACGCTGCCAGCGCCCAGGTCAGGTCCCTTCTTCCCACCCTTTTGCCCTTAAACCCCAACAGCTGCGATGCCCCCAGGTGCCCATGAAGAGGAAGGCAGCGTTCAGGAAGGTGCAAGTCATCCGCCCTCCCCCTACCCCTGCGTGTTCTCCAAAGGCTGCATCAAAGAGAGGCCTGTTCCAAGGGGCATCTGGGTGGCTCAGTCAGTTAAGTGTTGGGACTCTTGGTTTTGGCTCTGATCATGATCTTGTGCTTCCTGAGTTCGAGTCCCATGTCAGCCCAGGGCTGACTCCGAGCCTGCGTGGGAATCTCTCTCTCTCCCTCCCTGGCTCACATGCTCAATCTTCCTCTCAAAGTAAATAAACTTAAAAAAAAAGAGAAAGATGCCTGTTCTGAGTTCACAAACGAGGACCGTGGCCAGCCCACAGCCCCCTCTGCTAAGCACAGGTTTGGCTCTGGGTATCCACCTCCTACTTCATCTCTGGGATATCCCCCGCGCCCCCCCCAACCCCTTTCGAGGGCACTCATGTCCCACACAGTTGCCCCCGTGACTCTGAAATCTTTAACTTCCCCTTGACTCCACCCTGGGCCTTCCAGATACACCTGTGACACAAAGTCTAAGCGTAAACCAGCGTTTCTCAATTCCACCTCAGAGACTTCCAACTTCCTCCTCCCAGACGGGCTGCAGAGCTGGACTCTCTCACATCAACCAAGGCCAAGGACCGAGTCTTACCGAATCCCGACTCCTAGGAGCACGTACCCGGCTGCCTCTCAGTCCCTATAAAAACACCTGTGGGAGCACCTGGGTGGCTCAGTCGGTTGAGTGTCCGACTTCGGCTCAGGTCATGATCTCATGTTCACGGGTTCGTGTGCTGACAGCTCAGAGCCTGGAGGCTGTTTTGGATTCTGTGTCTCCCTCTCTCTCTGACCCTTCCCTGCTCACACTGTCTCTCTCTAAAATAAAACATTTAAAAAAAAACACCTGCGAAACTCCGCAGGCTTTGGTTTGAAAATAAGAAAAAACGCTTCTGCCCCAAACAAAGAAGCATGGTGTTTCTGTCCGCCCGCAGCTGACAGCCATGTTGGGGATGAAACCGCCCTCCCAGAGGGTGCTTCCCCGGCCCCCAGAAGGCCCCAGCTCCTTGAACACACTGGCCGACTCCGGGTTCTCCTAACTGCCCCTTCCCAGCAAAAGGAAACCTTTCACCACCTTCCAGAATCAACTGCCAAGCAAACTTGCGGGTCCCAGAACCAGGGACAGGAGACACAAACATTCCTACGGCCTGCTCATTTGAGACTCGGTGGCCCCAAAAGCACTCTCCTCAGGAAAGGGAACCCTTCCCTATGACCCGGGACACATTAAATCTAAGGACAAAAGAACCCTCTCCCCCCGACACCGCAGGTCAGCAGCAGCTGGTGGGAACCACACTGGCCCACCTTGCAACGAGTAGGCCTCTCTGAGGTTCTGCGTGCGTGTTGTTAGAGTTTTGGGGGGGGGGGGGATGTCACCCCAGCCGGTGACATACCTGCAGACCGGGCAGCCTCCAACGACAACGATGGAATTGGCAGGGTACCTGGTGACATTTCGACTGTGGATGTTGTAGACCCTGGGGTGGTGGGTGGGTATCCCTGTGGGCAGGAAGGCACGTCAGAGGTGGCAGGGAGGAAATCTGGGAAGCCAGAGGACTACTCCTACCTTCCCCCCACCCAACCCCGACCTCCCCCCGCTCATCCTTTCCAAAATCGGGGCGACAGCCGCCTTCGCTGAGTGCCCACGACCGGCTTGACCGGGTGCTAACTTGCAGACAGCACCTGGTTAACGAAGTTCATTTGCAAGACGGCCGCGGCGCGTCCCGGGACGGGCGGGCCTGGTGCTCCCGACCCCCGAGTAGACCGAGGGCCGCGCGGCAGGCTCCCGCCCCCGGCCCCGCCGGCTCGGCGTTCCCGGCCCCGGAGAGGTCCCTCGGCAGCGCCCGCGCGGGGACCACCCCCGAGCACGGCCGGGCCGCGGCCCCCCGACAGCCGCCGCCGCGTCCGGAGAAAAGTTGGTTTCGGGGTTAAAGGTCGCCGCGGCACGGGGCCCAAAGTTTGCTCCCGGCCCCCCGCCCCCGCCCGCCGGGCGCACCTGTGACGAGGTAGGGGTAGGGCGGCGGCGGGGGCGCGGCGGGGATGGCGCCGTAGCCGTGCGGGCCGCACGCGAAGTCGCCCTGGCCGGCCTCCAGGTTGTAGGCGGGCGGCCGCTCCTGCAGCAGGGGCTTGTGGTCCATGGCGGGCGGCGCCCACCGCGCCCGGCCCGGCTCCCGCCCGGACTCCCGCTCGGACTCCGGCTCCCGCGCCGGCTCGGACTCGCTGGGACGCCCGGACCGGCCGGCGGGACCCGCTCCTCGCGGGCGGCGGCGGCAGCGGCGGCGGCTGCGGGGCTGGGCCCCTCTCGGAGGCGGGCGCCGCGGGCTTCCCCTCCGCGCCTCCCCCCGGCCAGTCACAAGACCCGGGTCACGTGGCGCGGCTCCTGGCGGGGGTGCGGCGCGGGGCGGGGCCGGCGCGGCGTCTTAAAGGGACCGCGCCGGCCCCCGGCCACCCGGTAGGCGGCCTTCGGCCTTGACCCCGCGCTCTTCCCTGCGCCACTTCCGTGGCCCTAGACCTCCCACCACGACGAGACTGCCAGTCGCACCCGGGACTCGGGGGAGGTGCCGCACTTGGCGGGAGTGAGGGGACTGTTGTGACCTGTACGGCCCGCGGAACCCGCCCCTTCCAGGGCCGGGGTCGGCCCCACCCACCTCTGAGCCGAGACCCCGGTGGTAGGCGGGAGATCCGATGGCCCGAGCCCACTCTCCACGGGGAAGGGCAGGGGTCCGCCGCGGCCCGGAGGAGGGTCTAGGAGGGGCGAGTACCACGGCGGTCCCCTGGTTATTACCGATCCTGGGCAAAGGAGCCGGGGGCTTCGCGCTCCGAGTGACCCCGGATCCCTATCAGGGCCGCAGCCGGGGTCAGTGGAAGCTCAGACTCCAGCAGGAAGAAGCAGGGCGCGCATCTCAATGTTGCCCGCTCGCGCTCAGCTGATGCTCATTCCCTCAGTTTTCGTCTTGACAAATTAGGTAGTTTCTAGGAGTTGCAACCACTGATTGCAGCCACTGAGTCCCCAGTTGGGGACAAACCCCTAAATATTGAGCACCTACTACGTAACAAGCACTGTCTCGGTTGTTCTTCGGTTGTACTAATCGGCACAGCAAACCGGGAGGTACTTACTAGCCCTGGTTTACAGCCCGGGGACCGTGGCTCCGACAAGGGGAGTGGCCTAAACATGACGCAAAGACCAACCACTCGGTCTGGTTCCCTCAATGAAGCATTTTCGTCGTCACCTGATAATGCTAAATGGATTTGTAAAAAAACGTTAAAAAGAAAGATCTGAATTTGTAGCTCCTGTAGCCCTTTCCAGGGCCTTCTGTAGCATTTGGTGTTTCCCCTCTTTTATGTGACCTGCAGTTTGATCCAGTGCGAGGACAAAGGACAGCTGAGACCCCCAGTCTATTTTTAACTTTTCCGAAGAGAGCATCTTCTTTATCACAAGTGTGACTCCTTGAAGCCCATCCCCACCTGTCTTTTATCTCCTGTACTGGTAACCATCATCCCAGCATCCTGTGGGGCAAAACCAGGAGTGAGTCTGGCTAGCATTAAGGGAGGGCCAGGTCAAGAAAGGAGACTGGATGAGACTGACCAGGACTCTGGGGCCAGCAGAGGTCCTGGCCTGCAGGAGAGATGGCTCCACGGGGCAAAGCCCCCCCCCCCACCCCTAGGGAAAAACAACCAACCTCACCTACCAGTGAAAAGTGGGCTTAGGGCAAGTCTGCTAACACGCTGCCAGCTGTGCACACTCATCTGGGGTCCCCCATCCTTCCCCACCTCGCAACCATGCTAATGATGTAGCTCGGTGAGGTCATTTCTTATTGGACTAAAGGTAAATTGGCAGATGTCCCTTCAATTTGCCCAGTTAGTTCTCCCTTCCTCCTGTGCCTTTGTTTGCTAATCAAACTCCACAAAATCCCGTAGCCTCTGGCTCCCTTTTCCTCCAATAATCGACTCCTCTCCCCCCCTCCTGCCCCCAGTTTAGGAATCCATATTCATGAATGAGAGGATGTGGCTTGGGATTTCCCAACTCTGGAGGGCATTGCTCACAGACACAAAACAGGTCCTGCCCCTTCATTCTCGAGCAAGTTGAGTGTGACCTGTTATCCCACAGGCCACAAAAGGCCTGGGGGGTGGGGCAAAGACGACAAGCCAGGGACACACAGAAGGAGCAGTGTGGTAGGGAGCCAGACAGTAAACTCCCAACGGCAGTGCAGTGACAGGGTTAGAGGTGCCCATGAGCCCTTGGTGCCCCAAGAATAGTAGGGTGGATGGAAGTCCCAGCTAGAATGCCAGCGCTGACTTGGCCCTAGGGACCAGGAAAGGTGTGAGAGGTCAAGAGCCCACTGAGCCTTGGTCACCTCCTGGATGGTTGTGGAACGCTCGCAGTGCTCAGGTTTCTGGCTCAGGTGACAGTATTGCCAGAACACGGATGCAAATCCAATGAAGCTGCCTGCAGACTGACTCGTACATGCAAATCCCGACAAAACACCAACCAAAGGAAGGCAAGGCAGAAGGTAGCTGTAAAGCATTAGCCCAGCGATAAAGATCTGAGATGATTGTAGTGGCCTAAGGCCAAGTACCCGCTCCACGAGTATTTATGCAGCACACCCTGCCTTGTGGGGTTACACTCTAATGGGGCGGGGCCACTTAGAAAATGGAGAGTGCTGGGGGCGGGGAATGAGCAGGGTCAAGGCCACAGGAGTGAGGTGGGCAAGGTGGCCGCAGTGATGGTTGGAGTGGGCACTTTGGGGAAGGTGAGCAGAGCCTGGAGGGGGTGGGGAGTGTCACAGTTAGCTGTGGGACCGGAAGAACCAGCTTGGTGTGTTGGCTTGTGTGCTGAGGGGAAGGAAAGTAACAGCATGTGTATAAAGTATAGGAAGAGGGAGGATGTGGGATAAAGAGCGGAGGTGGCAGGAGGGGCTGGGGTCCAGTGCCCGGTGGTGGTACAGCCCCCGCTGGGATCCCAGTCACCCACAGAAACGGGAGAAGATGGAGCACACGGGTGCCCGCGCAGGTGGACAGAGGCGGGTGCTGTCTTCTGCCTGCTTCTGTTTTCCGTGGGACACAGGAAGCAGGGTCAGCAGTGAGACCAAGGATAGGGGAGGAGTGTCAGGGTTCCAGGAGGGAAGAGAAAGTCGGGAAGTCACCGAGAATGGGCGCATGGCCAAGACTGACCGCAAGGCAGCGTAAAGGCTGACCAAGGTCAGTGATGCTTCAAAGGGAGACCAGGAATAATCTTAACTATGTTACAAAAAACAGACAAAAAGGCCCCAAATGGAGTCACTTGTGCTCAGCCCCATGTCAGCAAACCACGACTTACTAGCTAGCTCAACTGCAGTGCAATTTTAAACCAGTCTGGAACTTCCTGGTCAGCAGTAACCCGCGCTCTCCTTGCCTTTCCTCCTTCCGTCTATAAAAGTCTCCCATTTTGTGCAGCTTCTCCCAAGCTCTTTTTTTATTTTTTTAATGTTAAAAAAATTTTTTTTAATGTTTATTTTTGAGAAACAGCGAGAGACAGAGCGTGAGCAGGGGAGGGGCAGAGAGAGAGGAAGACACAGAATTGGAAGCAGGCTTCAGGCTCTGAGGTGTCAGCACAGAGCCTGATGCAGGGCTCGAACTCATGGAACTGTGAGATCATGACCTGAGCCAAAGTCAGATGCTCAACAGACTGAGCCACCCAGGCGCCCCATTTTTTAATGTTTTATTTATTTTTGGAGGGGTGGGGGTGGGGGGACAGAGGTTCTGAAGTGGGCTCTGAGCCAACAGCAGTGAGCCCAATGTGGGGCTCAAACTCACGGACGCTGAGATAATGACCTGAGCCAAAGTTGGTCACATAACTGACAGCCCCCCAGGCACCTTTCCTGAGCTCCCTCCTATGTGCTGGACGGGGTGCTGCCCCACTCACAAGTCACTAAATAAAATCAATTTATCTTTACATTTACTCAGGTGTTTTTTTGTTTTGTTTTGAGAGAGCAAACCCGCTGGGGAGGGGCAGAGAGAGAGAGAGAAACCCTAGCAGGCTCCACATCCAGGGCAGAGCCCAATGGGAGGCTTGATCCCACCACCGTGAGATCATGACCTGAGCCGAAATCAAGAGTCGGATACATAACCAACTGAGCCACCCAGACACTCTACTCAGTTGAATTTTTAAACACCTACAACATAGTTCATATCTCAGTTCATCCTCGGGGCCTCCCACAAAGTAGCCTTCGCAGTCCCCCAACTGCTTGATGAGAAAACCGAGGCACAGAAAGTTCCTGTAACTTTTCCAAGGTCGCCAAGCCCACATCATCAGCACTCAGGCCACTGACAATCGCTGTGTACTGCTCTCACGCCAAGGGCACAAGGAAAAAGCCAGTCGCTGCCAGTGTTAACAGAAAGACGTGTTGGAGAAGACTTGGAGCATCCCTTCCTCTGCGCCCACCTCACAGCAGAAATCCTCCGCGTTCATACGTGTACACTGAAAACAATTTTCTTGTATTGCCATTTCCATAAAAGCAAGTAACTGCTCACTGAACTGCTACGTGTACATGTCTTCACGGGGAGCAACCTGTAGGGGATCCGGTCGGGCAGTGGACGTGCCGGCCCCGTGCCTGGGAGCTGTCACCGTCCTCCAGACCTTGACAGTCACCAAGGACTCTCTCCAGCTGTAGGCAGAGGAAACCAAAACAAGATCCTGCCCTTTTTTGCAGACTTTGAAAAGTGCTGATAACCCATCACATGAGTGTCTTGCACATTCAGGAAACTAGCATCTCACATGGTTGGGATTGTGGTAAAAAAAAAAAAAAGGCAGCAGCAAATATCATTTCAAACCCCAAGGCTGCAACCAATTACAAGTGCCTGCCTCAGGAAAGGCTCTCACCAAATATTTGCTAAATGTTTATCTTAGATAAACACAGTTTTAAGTTTTATGGGAAGCCTGTGATAAGCCTTACAATTCTACTAGGCAAATATTTCTAAATATTTTATAAATTAAGCACAAGTGTTTCTATGCAACACAGATGACAATTTCTTGCTGGGTCACACGGTAAATCTCATCACAAGTGACATATATTAGTAGTAGATTTAAATCCATGCTACACCCTTCCTTCTCACTCCGTAGGCAGAGCCACAGAACACGTTCTTACACTTAAACAGGAAATAATCTCTTTGAGTCAACGTTTTCTAGCAATTCTCCTAAGAACAAAGAGCAAATCCTGGGGAGCAAGTCTCTACTAAATAAATTCCCACGTAGCTGTACTCAAAATCCCTGAAAAGCAGTTCAGTATTAACGGATGTAACGGACAGGCTGGAGCAGTAACAGGAGAAAACATGGAAGTCAGACCCATTTGTG